GCTGACATTAGCGCCAGGCGCTAACGCTAGCGCCAGGCACCAAGCTTAGCGTCAGGCGCTAATGCTGGCGTTTGGCGCTAACTTAATTATTGACGCGTTTTCTAAAATCAGATTGAAATTTCCGTACAGGAGGATAAAATCGTATTTTCCTCAAAAACGTTCTTTTATTCTGATTAAAACTCAAAAAAGGCAACAAAAGTCAATTTATCAATGCCAATTAAATTAGGAATGAAAAGAACCTTCTAGAAGAATCTAGAAGATTAAAACCATTGCCAATTGCATTAGGAATGATAAATCTATATTAGGCCCTCCTCTAGATCATTGGGCCGCATAAAGGCTCAAATCGGGCCTAGTTTAATAATTTGGCCATAACTTCCTCAATATTCATCGGAATTGGGCTTATAATATATCGTTGGAAAGATCTTTTCAAGCCCTATCCAACTACACTACTGTTGGAGCCATATTATGGACCAACCAAACTGGATTGACTGTTTTCTTAAAATAGGTTTTCAAAAATAGAGAGAAGAGAAAAGAAATTAAAACTATCCACAACACTAAACTTTTCACACTTTCACTTCATTCAATTATGATTCGACATGAAAAGTACTCATCACTAGGTTTGGTTTTGGGGAGACACAAATGGGTGTCTACAGAGATAAATAAATGAAATAGCATATTGACTAATGATTTCTACAAATTTCTAATAAGAGAAGCAAAGCCATAACCCATGCATTAGCACGGGCACATCCTAGTAAGTAACTAAATTAAGAGGACTCGCGACAATAATAAGTAAACACCACCACCTTGTGACCTTCCCTTCGAAGCTCAAGGGCTGCAGCTAAAAAAAGCAAGAGAAAAACAAAAAAAAATGCAGTAAGAACACTGACAAATCCATAAATCATCCCTAAAAATTCTATATATAAAAAATTGCTCGTTATAAATATGTCATTAATTCAGTGATTATAACCAATATTTTAATAGACTACCTTGAAATAACCCTAAATTAAGTACACTGAAAATCAAATTTCAATAAACCCTAGATTGTGAAAATTTAAATTCAATGATTAATATAAAATAATAATAATAAATTCTTACCTTAGGAGCCTTTCCTGCAGTAACACCACCCAAAATCAATCTTATAACTTTATGAAAATTGTATGAACAAATATCCTTTATATCTGCATAATAAGATAACTCAAAAGTCAAACCTATCCCAACCATTCACTATTTTAGGCTATGTGACAAGTCTTATATCTTATTTTCGGACCCTATAGCTATATCTGACTATAATTCTAGACCAAAGGAGGACTTGAAATATATAATTGTAAATTTGTAATTACCCTATACATTTGAATCGATCAATATGTTCTGTTTCATTAGTCAGCTTATTTGCAATAGGTGTGGTTAACTTCTTAGCAGAAAAAGTACATCTTTGTGAATTTCTAAGCTTGCACCATCCCTCCTGATCCTGAACCAAAATAATTCAGATTACAATTAAGGTACTCCTATTGAAATTATGGATTAATATATTAGTGTTAAACCATTATCTCCTTAGATGTCAACATTTTTCATTTGTTGTCTTTGTAAAAGTGTTGTCTTACGTATCATTTTACCTTGGCTTTCAAAATTGTTGCCTTTGAATAACAATGTGTTGCCTTATGAATAGACAACGAGGCATATATTACGCCTCATATGTGTTGCCTTAGCTACAAGGCAACACTTTTTTTATATTAGGCAATGGTTTTTCACTGTTACCTTTGCTTTATTTTGTTGTAGTGAAACAAAGATGCATAGGTAGTCAAGTAAACACAATATGATACAATGATTTTGGAACCTAACCATGGATTTAGTTCTCTAAAGTTCAAGGATAAGGGTTAGTCAAAGAGGGTCCAGGTTATGAGTCCGAATGCATTGCACGGAAGCCTTACATTTGAAAGGGTTGGCGTGTATGGATGGGACCCCGCATGTTAAACTTGCTTCCATGGTTTGGTGAATTCACAAACTCGGATGTACCCTTCGTTGCAATGAGTGTTTGATTGGGTAGATGGAGCGTGAATTCCCAAAGGGTTATGGCCATATGTAGAACACATATCAGTTCAGAAAAGTGAGAAAAACTCAATCAGGAAGTAAAACCGAGCAAACAGTACTGAAACCAGTCGAAACAAGAACGCAAATTTTTGGCTCGGTATTAAAAGAACTTGGAGAGAGACAATAGGGACCATCGCGAGACAATAGCACTGTCGCGCCGCGATATTGCTATCACTTTACGATAGAACCATCGCACTGGGATGGGCACTATTTTCTCAGCGCTAGTTCCACGTAGCGTTATTTCAATTCTAGCTGTAAAAGATATTTCCTAAATTCACTACGCGTAAAAATCCTATGTTTTTGACGCATTACGGATGGTCTATCAATTGCGGACCTTTTTTATGCTTATGCCAATAATGTCAATCACAATTATGCACATGAGTACTTAAAACGTTTTGAGTCTCATCCACTCATTCTAAATTATTGTCAAAATAAATTTTAGGAATTAAAATAGAAATCCTCCCTAGTGGAGTCACCAAAAAACCATAGGGAATATTTCAAACTTCCAACACTTGAGCCCCACTATGATCATACACTTAAGTATGGTGGCGTCCAAAAGGAAGAAGCTAGAGAAAAAGAATCGCCAACTAGTTTTAGGAACTTGTAACCCGTTCACAGGGTGAAGGTTACACCCCTTCACGATCCATGAGATCGCTAACTCTATAGTGGTCTGGAACCATCATTGGATATTCGGGGATGAAGGTACAAATCCAACCTAAAAGATATTGAACCTGCCTTAAAAATAGGACTCTACTTTATTCTTCTCATATTCATGTGCGCTTTCTGACTAACATACAATCAATATATTAATCCTAAACCTGATTAATCTATGTTAGTTGAATATTAATGCACAAACAATTCTATTATTGGCGATCAATTGAATTAAAAATCACATTAGCTTAAATAAAATTATTAATTATCTTATTAAGCGTAATTACAAGTACAATTTCCCTTTAAATCCTGCAAGAGAGGGCGTGATCAAGCAAGATAATAATAATTGATACAACAAATCATCATCAAAACAATTCTCAATAAAGCATAGTATTAGCAAGATCCTAGGCATGATACTAACATGATTTATAACAAATCCTAACATGTCACTAAACAATAAAGATCAAAGACTTAATCCTAACATGATAGTAACTTGATAGAAGAAATAAGAAATAACCTAATCATGATACCAGAAAGCAATAAAAGCATCCTAACATGATACTAGGAATCATAAGACACCCTAACATGATACTAAAAATTAATAAAATAATCTAAGCGTGCATTCTAAAGATAAAGAGAAATAATAAAACAACTTACTTTGTTGCCTCATATCTCTTTCTATCAAAACAAGACACATGTTAAAAACTTTAAGGAAAATATTAAATCAAGCAATTAATTTAAATAAGTGATATAGGGATTTGGGACCAAACCCTCAGAAATTATCAACCTTTCACGTCTGGGCGAAGGCAACCTCGAGCTTACACCTCAAGAAGTCCAAAACTTAACTAATCTAAACTATGATATGCCACCCTTACCACCTCCACGTGTGCATCTTAACTATACATCATCCGATGACTTAGAAATCCCTCACCCAAATGACTTTGAATCCCCACCTCATTCTCTCGAACCCCCTATCCCAAGAGGCCGAGTATCCAGTCCAAAGCACAACACAAACCGTAACCCTAGCTCCTATGTTAGCCCTAACTGCAACTCTAGCTATGGCTCGTGCCGTAGCCCAACTTATAGTGAATTTTATCCTACCTTCTTGCTTGAACGTAACCAAAATCCAACCCATATGGCTAAACCTTTAGAACCTGATTCCCATCAGCTTTCCACAGGAAACATAGGTGATGTGGCTAGGAAAATGATCCAACAAGCCAAGACCAAGAGTAGAACTTCAGGATAGCTATTATTTGATTTCTTCCATTAGTAGCAAGTTGTTTTGTTTTGTAAGCCAACTAGTGGCCGTTATGAATTTGTAGTGACAAGATGCATTAATTATTTTAATAAGCCTATGTGGCTAAGTATGGAGTTTCAATTATTAATAAGAATTTATGAATTTCTTATATAATAAATGTCTATTTGCTATTTTAAGTTATTCAGGTGGTCTCTAAGAGTCGGAAATAGTTAATGCACTGGTTTCAAAATGGGCTCTACTCTTAGGAAGCTAACTACCATTGCTCAAAACATGAGGGTGAGTCAAGGGAACCGTAGCAACGACTTAGATCAATTTGGGGAAGTTTTTAAGAGGTTGGTAGTTGCAAAGCTACCCACTTACCTTGGGAAGGAGGATCTCGCTAGTTTGGAGAATTAGATAAGGGAATTTGACAAGTTGTTTGATGCCATTAACTGTCCTGAAGAATTAAGGGTTAATAATGTTGTGTATTACTTAAGGGAAGAAGCTGACCTTTGGTGGAGTCAAAATCGGGCTAGGCTTTTAGAAACCCCTAACTTTGGATGGAAAGAACTGAAGAAGGCAATAAGAGACAAGTTTTACCCCGCGCACCTGAAGAAGCAGAAATGCATCCTTAAAAAAAAAATAAAAAAAAATTACTGACAATATCAAAGATTTAAAACAATGGCATTTGTTCGTGTTCAACCATTATATGTTAAGATTTGGACTTCACCAACACACGCCCCCAAATAGTCAAATTAACACCCTCATATTAACGTTCTTCTTCACTCATCAAACATCATCAACTGGATCCAATTTTTGCAACTGAAGAGCAACAAGTTGCTTTTGCTCCGACAGCCGAGGAAATTCTGAAGAAAAAGAACATCGTTGCTGAAGAAGTCGTCGACAAGCCGAGGAAAGCTAAGCAGTCAATAAGAATTGGAATTAAATTGATGAATCTGTACCTGAATCTATTGAATTTTCAAAAAAATGTTAGGGTTTGGAAAGAAAAAGTTAGAAAGAGAAAATAAGAGGAGAAATATGAGAGGAGAGGGGAGAGATAGAATTAGAAAATAAATAAAATAAAATATTGTTGCTGGCCACACGGTGTGACCACATATAAAAGTCAGTGACAAAATAAGTATTATCCTTTTTATTCGGGCTTTCTTTATTTGACCTTTGCTGCTGACAACTGACTACTACCCCTTTCATTCACAAAAATAGGGTAAAATACAACCAATTCTTTCAATCTTCCCAAAAAAAATAAAAGTTATCTTTCCCAAAAAAAAAAAAAAAAAAAAAAAACAAATAAATTTTTACTTGAAATATTATGTTTTTGATTGTTTTCCTCTTCTATTAGCATGGCTGAATAGTGAAGAGATGAAGACAAATACAATAAACCCATCATTATCATATGATAAAATTCATAATGCAAGAAATCGTAGGAGTTTCATTGGTGTACCCCCATTTTTGTTATGGTTTCTTGTTTTTACCTCTTTTTTAAGCCTTTTTCTTCTTTACTCTCCTAAATCTTTTCATTTCACCTCTCAACAACATAAAGTACATGAACGACGTCAACAAGAACATCACTTTCTTCCTGCGCGGATTAAATATCAATCTGGTACGTAATCCTTCTCCCGATTCTCGAAATTCAGTTTTTTCGAGACGAGCTACTCCATCTGTTCCGTTTTGTTTGTTATACTAGTCGTAGAATTGTAGATTCAAATAGAAAATGTGTTCTTCCATTCTTATAAATTCTTTGGGTTAATTTTTTTGTTTTATTAATGTGACGTATACCCATTTCTTGATTTTTCTACGTTCAAGATTTGTTTATTTCTGTTCATTTTATTTTAGACGTACTGTAACGTTTCATTTCATAAAAATAATTGTTAATTTTTTAAAATCAAGTTTATTACTATAATTTTCACTTTTTTTTTTTGTTTTTGTTTTGTTGATTCTAATTTTCATTCTAATTTTTTGTTTTATTATTAGGTGATGATAATTGTGACTTGTTCAAGGGCAAATGGGTACCAGATTTAAATGGATCCAAATACACAACAACTAGTTGTGTAACAATTCCGGACTCGAAAAATTGCTTCAAAAATGGAAGAATTGACATAGAATTTGTGAATTGGAGATGGAAACCAGACAATTGTGAGCTTCCAAGATTTGATCCTCGTAAATTTCTGAAAATTGTTGGAGGAAAAAAATTAGCTTTTGTTGGGGATTCTGTTGCTCGGAATCAAATGGAGTCTCTCCTATGCCTTCTATCGCAGGTTAATTTTGTCTTAAATTATCTGGAATTAATAGTCATATTGATGCTTGATAATAGTATAGTTTAAATTAGTAATGAGACAATTTTATACATAAGTGAGAGTATCCATTTTGGTGATCCCAATGGAATGAAAAAGGTGCAAAATTGTGGAAGAGAAATGCAGACAATTGAAGAATATATATGTAGTGTGATTGTGGAGTTATGATTTAATGCAGATTCCATGTTATGTTTGCAAGCAAATACTTGTATGACATCTTTTGTGGTAGTGAAGTTGTTATTTTGTTCTACCTTTGTATATGTTGAGTGCTTATTATTATTGAGTGGTTAAGCTATAAATAATAATAAAATAGACTAGCAAAAGACATACGAGTATATGACGTTTAAGTTAAGTTGTGATTGTTGCGTGAGGGTATCTCTAGTTGATTAAGAGTCGAGATATAAAATGGAAAAGTGATTAGAGAAAAAATAAAAAAAGAAATAGTTCTTTTAAAATCATCTTTAATTTCTATTTCTCCAATCATATAATTGGATTAGGGAAAAGTATTGTCTAGAACGGAGTCACGTGAGTCAAATCATATAAATTGAAAAACAATAAAATTATTAATTGTCAGAAATAGATAATAATGGTCAGATATTAAGTTACAAATAAAAAATAAAATTATTAATTGTCAGAAATAGATAATAATGGTCAGATATTAAGTTACAAATATCATACTACCTCCGTTAACTGCAACAAAGGGGGTATGCGCGGACTCCTAGGCAAAACTTCTTAAACATGAGTTATGCACATGTAATTAATTATTAATCAAATTTATTAAAAAAAAAAAGCAATTGCAATCAAACTAGAACCTCCCATACCATCACATGCCGCCAAGAACCACCACACATGCCACCGTAAACCCATAAACGACCACCGACGCCACCCACAACTCACTGAAACTACCCACAAACCACCGAAATCCACTCGAGAACCACAAAAACCACCCAAAAGGCCAAAACCCACCAGATCCGAAACCCAAACCCACCCACGAAACAGCGACCTAAACCACCAAAACCCACGAAATAGCTAGCCAGGAACCACCCACGAAAGCAACCAACACCCGCGAACCACCAACACCCACCCACGACCCATTAACACCCACTCACGAACCACCAATACCCACGAACCACCAATACCCACGAACCACCAGCACCCGCAAAATACCCACGAACCACCAACACCCACGAATACCCACGAACCACTTACACCCACCAAAGCCACGAACCACCCACGAAAGCCACCAACACCCACGAAATAACCACCCACGAATCACCGGCACCCACACAGGACCCACTAACACCCACACAAACCAGATCTAAATAAACCCACCCACAAACTAGATCTTCTAATCTCACCCACGTAATAAGTAGAAATGAAGGTGAGAAATGAAGATAATAATGACAGATGAAGAATGAAGAATGAAGAAGATGAAGATGGAGGAGAGAGATGGTGGGGAAATGAAATTAGTGGTGAATTAGATTTTTTTTGGGGTAAAAGTTTAGATGATTGAGTTAGATTAGAGTTATAATAATTTGTAATTATATTTAGTATTATGTGTTAATAATTTTTAAATGAGGATATTTGGTCATTTTACCAGAAAAAAGGTACCATATTAGGAAAAAAATAGTTTTGTTGCAAATAATAGTTAGTACCTATTTTTAGAAAATATTGCAAATAACTATTAACGGAGGTAGTATATTAGATTAAAAGTGGCCGAAATTAAATACTAATGGTCAAATATTAAATTAATATAGCCAAATATTATATTATGATTATCAGATATTAAATTGTAATTGTCAAAAATTAGATTATAATTATAATATACTTTATATTAGATCAAAAGTGTAAGAAATTAGATTACTATAGTGAGATATTGGATTATAACTATATATAAGATATTAGACAAAATTTCAATACAATTACATCAGTACCTTCTGAGTCTTTACTAGGCAATAAAGGTACACCTTAAATGGAAATATTAGCCTCGTAATCTCCTTCAATCTCTGTCTCTCCTTCCTCTTCTTTGATCAATTGCTAGGTTGGGTTATCGACTTTCTTCTCTTCTAAATTTAAATAAGGAATTTGCTGAAATGGCTTCTTCGAGTCCTGATTGGAGGTTGGATAAGGCCTTTCTTTTACCGTCTTCGCCCCAATTCTCAACACTGGTAGAGACTTGAAGAGAAGTAGGATCGTCATTTGTAGCAAAAATTGATGGAGTATCCGGCGAAAGCTCGATGGGTCCTTCTTCCACGGCGGCGAAGAGGGACCATGTTTGAGAATTAAGGCGAAGATTGGAGGAGAGAGAGTGGATTGAAGAGGGTTTGTGGAATCGATTTTTTCTGTACCAGTTGATGATATCAACAAATCTACTGCTAATAATAGTCCCACATTTCCTATTGATAAAGCCGGCTAATACAATTCAACCCAAAAATTGCCAACAAAACACAAAATATAAACGTAATAAATTGAGAAAAATGAGTGTATAATAGTGGGTGAGGGATAAATGTGTACATTATAAACCAGACATATGTAAGTCTGTTCTACGCAAAACCTTCTCTTGAATGGGAAAAGTATTGTGTATAACGGAGTCACGTGAGTCAAATCATATAAATTGAAAAAAATAAAATTATTAATTGTCAGAAATAGATAATAATGGTCAGATATTAAGTTACAAGTATCATATATTAGATTAAAAGTGGCCGAAATTAAATACTAATGGTCAAATATTAAATTAATATAGCCAGATATTATATTATGATTATCAGATATTAGATTGTAATTGTCAGAAATTAGATTATAATTATCATATACTTTATATTAGATTAAAAGTGTAAGAAATTAGATTACTATAGTGAAATATTAGATTATAACTATAAGATATTAGACAAAATTATTAGATTTCCTAGAAAATTGAGAGGGGAGCAAACAAGGTTCTATTTTGTCAAAACTTTAGTAATCTCCTTTATTCTCTTCTCTTAAGTAGTCCGATACTTTCACCTTTAAAAAGGGTGTTGAAACTAAACGGCCTAGTTCGAGTGTATGCAAGCTTACAAGGAAAAGAATAATCTATTACTCCCCCTGTTTCCAAAAATTCGACCTTTTTGGCCTAATTTTAGTCCTAAAATGATCACCCATTTGCATTAAAATACCCATTAATTTACAACAATAGTTGTGCAAAATTACTTCCCCATATAAAATATTGTTTTTTCCAAGTATTTTTAATACTTTTCCTCTCTAATTTTTTATAAATCTCATGTAAATTTCTCCATATAACTAGAGCTTGGAATTTTAGAACATTTTGGAATTTGGATTTCATGAATACTTCTAGATTTTATTCGAAAGTCGTATATTGTTGTTTCAGCTCAAGAACATATAAAAAAAAAGTCAACATTCGATTTTCAATAGCTTCATTAGAAAAAGTGAAGCTTGCTGAAACATAATTTATGACCAAAATGTTAGTCTATTTCACACCAATATAAAACTCATAAGTCATAGTATTAATGAATATAATATAGAACAAACAACCACTTTTAAAGTTAAATTGAGCATTTTAATCAAATAGGAATAAAAAAAGTTGAAGTTGATTTGATTAGGGGTTAATTAATGATAGAGAATATCCATAGAATATTCTCATCCTAGATTTAGGATATATTTTGTATAAGATTATCTTTGATATCTGTACATATCTTATAGTTACCTAATATGATTAGGTTTCTCATTGTAACCCTATAAATATTGATCAATGGAAATCACTCTAATCAAGGAGTTTTCCCGAAATCTGACATGGTATCACAGCTTAGGTTAGATCTTGGGATTATATACGAAAATTCTCACCCTGCCGGTGGGTTAGAAAATTAAACCCACCGGCGGGATAAACAAAGTTTTTTATGCTTCCGCAAACACACATATAGATTTTTTTTTCTTTTCTCAAAGTTTTTTTTTAGAATCTTTATGTAACCTTGCGCCTCCCACCAACAGTAGCAATCGCGAAAGCCTCCTCCATCATTGTTGGCAATCGCATACACTACCGCCTCCCACTACTGCCAACCTACTCCATGTGCCGCACTCTATTTCCACCTCCCCATGACCAACAATGATTCTTACATTGCCTCATTAGTTTTTTTAACACATAATCACATATATTTTGTTTGGGTGGTGGTATATCACAATAAGGTCAACTTTTGCACATCTCTTTTGCTATCAAGTTAGCTCCTTTTATTGTTGCAGCACTTGGAATCTTTGTGGAGTATTACTTCTTGCTATCTGGTTTCTCTTCTGAGAATTGATTAATTTCAAGCGGTGGGATTTAATCTTTTCTTGCGCAATTTTATTTATTTTTCTTCAATTGTGATTTCACGTAGTAGTGTAGTGTTTTCTTCCCGATGATGGTTTGATCCCTTAGCTTCTTCTTCTCTGGATCTGCAACTTAGCCCAAGTCTGTGTGCGGCTTTTCTCCTTCTCCTCCGGCCTAGCAGTGCTTATCTCTACTCTATGTAGGTCGTGGTTGTTGCTTCTCTCGTCATCACCGGCACATTTCTACTACTTTCTCTTTTGATCATAGGTTACTATACTATCCTTACCGTTCGATGCGTGATTCAGATCCAGTGTGAGCATCCGATTTTCTCCCGCTCTGACTGCGGGGGTGTGATAGAGAATATCCATAGAATATTCTCATCCTAGGTTTAGGATATATTTTGTATAAGATTATCTTTGATATCTGTACATATCTTATAGTTACCTAATATGATTAGGTTTCTCATTGTAACCCTATAAATATTGATCAATGGAAATCACTCTAATCAGGGAGTTTCATAAAATCTAACAATTAAGCCTAAAGTTAAAGACAAAATCACAATTACTGGCAGAATGAGGAAATACTTTTATGTAATTGGTTTGTGCTGTCACGCGTGATAAGAATGTGAAAATTGATATCTAAGCATAGTCGTATTACATAGAAAATCAATTGTTGAATGAAAATTATGGTTTTGTACAGTTTACTTGCTAATAAGGCTTGTACAACGTAAAATTGAGAATGCCCGGAGTGTACACTGCTTGATATAACGACGTAACATAACTGTCAGGTTTATTATTTTTGAATAAAAAAGCAGATTGTCACACTTCTTTTGCATAAAATAGATTTTCAAATTAATGCACCTCGATTAATAAAATGGAGTTGTGTCATGTGTAGTTTGTCTGTGTGTGTTTGTCCGGGGGAAGGGAGATAGGAGACAACTACACACTCTCTTTGTCTTTTTTAATTTTACTGTTGCAAATTTTTTGTTAGAGAAAAATGATCAAAGCATAAAATAAAATTACGGCAGAGGGTAAATTAGAGAGAAATAGAATCGCTTGATTTCATTAATGATTTTGCCAAAGCTTATATAATACAAAGATCAACCCTATTGTGCTAGGATTAGGAAACTACCAAAGATAACATATACCAAAAGATATACTAGCACAAAATATGCTAAACAAATATATCCTAATATTTCCTAAATATATCTCAATACCCTCCCCCTCAAGTTGGAGCATAGGGATCATAAATGCCCAACTTGGAAATAAGATGATCAAACTGAGTCTTCCCAAGCACCTTAGTGAAAACATCCGCTAATTGCTCCTTAGTGGAAACATAAGATGGAGCAATCAAGCCCTCTGTAATGGCATCACGA